CCTCATCAAACTTCTCAAAGTTTTGGGTATCCAAATCGTCCTTGACCTCAGGAATAAAAGCAGCTTCCATTTGGTAAATCTTTTCCCATTCTACACCTTCGAACCAAGGATGTGCCTAATGTGACATTTTTTTTGTGGATAGTATTTATGAGTTCTAAAAACTTCATAAATTATTGTAAGTTTTACTAAAGAAAAAGATATATACCTTGATTTGGGATGCACCAGTACTAGATCCGAGTCGTTGGTCAACGTTACACAAAAGCTTACCAACAAGATCCTTAGCCGTTCGTGATAGTCTTGCTTCTGGAGGGAACTTCAAATGTGTTTTCCAATTCACTATCTGTTTTTTTTATACGTGTAAGAATAACTCATAGATAAATAAAATCTCATTACAAAAAAACATTCCAAAGAATATATTTTTTCAAGAAAATCGAACCTTTCTACAAGTAGACATTGGATCGTCGGAGTAAAATGGTGGATAACCAACAAGCATCTCGTACATTATAGCTCCTAGTGACCACCTAGAATATTTTTCATACTTTCTAGTTAAAGACTTTGAATTTTATTTTATTTTCTTTAAATTACATAAAATATATAGGCACGTTTGAGTAAACCGGACACACGTGTGTATACGTACCAGTCGCATTCCATGCCGTATCCTTTTTTTAACAAGACTTCAGGTGCAATGTAGTCTGGTGTACCAACGGTTGAGTAAGCCTGCATTGTGTTACACCAAGAACAACTTCAAGTTACACACATAATTAAACAAAACTTGGAATTAAAGATAGATTTTGATCGAAAACCGATTATAGCTCGAAACTAAGACCATACTAAACTGATTTTTCGACTAGATTTTTTCTCCAAATGAAGCCACAACATTTACCATCCTAAACGCGAAAATCGGCGTTTAGAAAAATTAATGCTTTACCAAAATACGATTGGACAACTCTAATAAAAAACCTTTAAATATCTTAAAAGAACAAGATTGAAATAGAGAGACAAAGAAGAGAGTAAATACATACAAGCATTCTTCGATTCTTCTGCCAATGTTGCAACTGTTCTTGCTGTGAGCGTTTGGGAGTGGTTGATGTGCTCTGTTCGCTCTCTGAACCTCCTCCGTTACTCGAATTTCCGACCGAGAAATCTTCTCCTTCAATAACACTACAATCCAATGGCTTACATAGTCCAAAATCAGACAACCTCAAATGTCCATATCTATCAAGCAACAAGTTATCTGGCTTAATGTCCCTGCAACAAAAAAAAATCTCAAAAACAGATCCTTCTATGTGATCTATAATGAATAATGATCTAATACATATATATATATAAACCTGTGGATATAGTTGCGTTTATGGATAGATTCGATAGCGAGAACAGATTCAGCGACATAGAATCTAGCTTCAGCTTCACTTAAAGTTTCTTTCCTCATAAGAAGAGTCATCATATCGCCACCGGGCAAATACTCCATTATCAAGTAAAGATAGTCATTGTCTTGAAAAGAACAGTAAAGCTTCACTATACAGCTACTATCTACTTCTGCCAATAGATTCCTCTCTGCTTTTACATGCTCCACCTACAAAACAAAATGTTTCAAAGACTCATAAATAAAAACCCCGAAAAACCCGATAATTGAAACATTATGAGAACATTGTGTACGTATAACCTGGCCTCGACGAAGCATTTCTGATTTCTTGAGTTTCTTCATAGCAAAAACATGACCTGTGTTCTTCTCTTTACAAATTCGAACCTGAATCAATCAAGGGTTTTAGTTTCTCGGATCATTTTAGGGTTAGAAAACTCAGAATCTTGATGAGTTTACCTCTCCAAAAGCTCCTTTACCAATCATAGTTAAGAGTTCGAAATCATCAGCACCCATTTTATGTCTTTGGAGTCTCATATACTCTGTTTCTTTCTTCTCAAGAAACTTTAAAAGATTGTTTTGATCTTCTTCAGATACATCTGCATCTGCTAGCTTCTTCTCAAGCGTTGTTCGTCTGCCAAATTCATAAGAAACCCATCAAGAATCT